CGCCACCTCCGCTTCTCCCGCCCGCCTGGTCGAACCCGGCGATCTGGGGGATGAGACCAGGAAAAACGGGGCTGTGGGAGCACTCTGGGAATCCTCTGTTCTGCGCCTCCCGGCTGCTCCTGCTTGCAGAGATGGGCATGAGGTGCTAATGGGGGAAACAGAGCTGTTTCTGTTACAAAAGACTTGAGCAAGGCAGGGTAAGGAGAGGTGGTGTCAGCAGCACCTCTTCGTGGTGCCACCTGCACGGGATCAGCCCTGGCGAGGACATGGCCAGGAGAAGCCCTCAAGCACCCGGGCTGCAAACCCGGGGCTGCCTCTCTCTGTTCCCATCCAACCTCTCCAGGACAGGGCTGGGAGAAGGGAGGGAGGTGAAAGCAAAGAAGGGACAAGCTAAATAAATAAATAAGCAGCCCCTTTCCCTCATCCCAAGCTGTGATCCCCGAATCCCTCTCTCTGCTCCCAGGCAGCTTGCAGGGAGGTTGCTGCCAGGGCTCCAGGAGCAGCTGTTCTCCGAGGCGCATTCCTGATGGATTTCTCATTCCAACATCCTGGCAGGCTCAGCTTCTTCCCACCACTTTTAAGCCTGCCGCCCCTTGTAAAATTTTCTGGATATCAGAGCAGATCTTTTACTGGCTCTCGGGACCTACAAACATTAGTCAATCAAGCCCTAGAGAGGGGGGAAAAAAGCCCCACACGCCCACGTGAGCACGAGCACACACAGAGCCTGGCGGGGAATCTGCTGCCACCTCCGAGTCTTGTTCCCGTCTCAAGGAGCTCACGGCCAAAAGAGACATTTTTGGTTAAAGATGCTCTTGTAGCAGCAGGGCCAGCTGAGACCGGGGCTGATGGCTGCTAAGGACCATGCGAAAATCTACTTGGGGACCCGCTTTGTCCCCTAAAGCTTCTGCTAATAGATGAAAGGAGGAGGTGTATGGGGAAAATAAAGCATGGGAGATGTTTTTGATGCAAGAAAGACCCAGATCCCCAGTGTTCGCTCCCTGCTTCCCCCATCACCTGGGCCTGGGTGGCTCCTGGCTGCCGTGCCATGGGGCTGGGCATTCCCAGAGCAGGTGCCAAGTCTGGTAACCAAAGCCCTGATGCTGCTCCCGGCCCTTATTGATGTATCTTACATTAAAACCCATCCCCGTGCTGGAGTCCTGTTGAGCTGAGCACCGTGCAGCGCCGAACAACAGACTAGAGCATCTCTCTGCTTCTTGCTGCCCCTCATCTCTCTGCTTCAGCCGAGGAAAGGGGAGCGAACCCGGCTCTCCTGCCCTCTGTCTGCACAAGGAAGGCTGGGAGCTCCGTGAAACCTCACCGCGGGCCCCGGCGTCCGGCCGCTCTCGCAGCTGCCCGGATAAGTGGAAGTTTGACACGTTGACAGCTAATAAAGTTCACAAGCTGAACAACAAGGGGCCCCATTTCGAGCTCCGGTTCCTCCTTTGCCAGGGAGATCCCTGCAGGGCGCCTGGGGTGTCAGTGAGGGCAGGAGACGCAGAATCCCTGCCCAGTGTGCCCGGTGTGCAGGGATGGGGCTGGCGAGGACCCCCCGGCATCCCGGAGTGGGGTGCTGAGCACCGTGTAAACTCCTACAGTCTGCAACGAAGCCGTTGGATCGGCCTCCCTGCCCCGCATCCGCAGCTAAGGAGCCCTGGTGTCACGCTCCAGCTCGGAACAAAGTCAGACTGCAGGGATTTGGGGAGTCGCAAATAGCCACCAGCCTTCCCTCGTTCCCGTCACCGCCGTGGGTGTCACAGCTACAGGCGCAGAGTGGCGGGAGGCGGCGGCTGCTTGTCCCCGTGCTGAAGGGACCGTCCTCCTTCGCTTGCGTCTGTGTCACCCGTGCTACATGTGATGCACGTGCTGGGATGCCGTGCTGCAGAAGAGCTGAGACAGAGGGGAGAGCGGTCAAAGCGCTAAGAAACAGGATTCTTGTTCTGCAAGAGCTTCCAAGGTTTTAGGAAAAAATCCATTTCCAATTTGGACTCAAACAGTCCAATTTGGCCTTCTTACAAAGAGTAAATCAACAGCTGAGAAATTCACTTAGAAATTTTAACCAAAATCCTGCTTTGGTCTTCAGTTTATTTTGTTTTTTACCTCACTTTTGGCAACTGTTTGGCACTGACAACATCAAACTTTATTACCAAAATCAAAACAAAACACAAGACAATGGGGAGCTATGATAACTTGGGAACCTTCTCCCTGACATTTCCAGAGCCAGGAGCTTTGATGGTTTGAGTTGAACGAAATCAGTGTGTGAGATAAAGGAGAACAAGTGCTCGCGTTGCCCCCGGGGCAGCCTCGCAAGCCCAAGTCGCACAGCGTGCACCGAAGAAAATATCTTTCCCACGTCGCGGCCGGTGCGCGTGCCCGCGCGGGCAGCCCGTCCCTTGCCGCTCTGCTGCTCCCATGAGTCACATTTGATGCCTTCCCAAGTATGAGCTCAGGAGCTTTCCCAGGAAGGCGCCGGGAGCGCTCGGCGTGCCCGGCGGGTGACTCAGCGCCGCAGCTGGGCGCCAGCACCGCTTCCCGCTCCCGCACGGAGCCGCGAGCCGGAGGCGCCGGTGCCCGCGGGGCTGCTGCCCGCCGACGAACCGCAGGGAAT